TGTGTGTGTGTGTGTGTGTGTGTACTTGTTTATGCTACATTGTGGGGACCAAATGTCCAGTGAGGGGCCAGCAACCAGTCTGGGGTGGCACAGAAATCTTCGTTATTTCAGTATAAAAATGTGTTTGACTATAAAGTACTGGACTGTTTTACTGCCTAAAACACAACTGAATACAATACATTTCTACTTAATTGTAATTAAGATATTTGTGAATTAGATCAAGTAATGCTGAGTGAATATAACAATTTGTGTATTATTCCCCACCTCCAGGTATTTTAATAAATTGGCTCACTATAGCTTTATTGCTCAGTCAGCTTGGTTCTGGTTCTCAAAACCCCCAAAAGCTTGTTCTCCAACATTACTCATGGACGAGACATGCAGATAGTGATAACAATGTGAAAAAGCACATGCCAGAATGTAAAATGAGTTATTTTATGTATTTAAATTGTTTCATTTTCGTTTGTACTTTTCAAATTAACAAAAAAAATTAGCGCTCATTTTCTCGAATACATTTACATTTATTCATTTAGCAGACGCTTTTATCCAAAGCGAGTTACAATTGGGGAATACATCAAGCGATTCTTCTTAAAGAGGCAAATAGACACAGGAAGTGCTCGTCATACCAAGTTTCAAGCATTGTTCAAATAAGTAAAAATATATATTTTTTTAGGATTAAGTCAGATAGTGACGAAAGAGGTCGCTTGAAGATTGTCAGGGATTCAGCATTCCGGATAGGGGTTGGAAGATCGTTCCACCAGCCAGGAATGGTGAACGAGAATGTTCTGGAAAGTGATTTTGAGCCTCTCTGTGATGGTACCACGAGGCGTCGCTCACTAGCGGATCTCAGACTTCTGGAGGGGATGTAGATTCGTAGTAGTGAGTGGAAGTAGGCAGGTGCTGACCCTGTAGCTGTTCTATATGTTGAGCAGTTTTTGCAATGTGGTCTTTGAAGGTCAGCTGGTCATCAAAGATTACACCAAGATTTCTGACCGAACATGCTGTAGAGTTGGAGTGGCCGGGAAGACAAGAAGCTCAGTCTTTACCAGGTTGAGCTGTAGGTGATGTTCTTTCATCCATGCCGAGATTTCTGCCAGGCAGCCTGAGATACGTGCATCTACCGTTGGATCATCTGGTTGAAATGAGAGATAGAGGTGTGTGTCATCAGCATAGCAATGGTAGGAGAAGCCATGTGCCTGTATGATGGGACCCAGTGATGTAGTGTATATGG